GAGTGCATTGTAGGCTGATCAGGAATTCCACATTTTCAAGGGGCGTACTGAAAAGCGTTTTCCTGCCTGAAAGTTTTCATTGCGTATTTTCTGAAATACATCTCATTTCTTTCTGATACAGAATTATTCAGACCAAGTAGTTCTGTTTCTGGCAGTCATGAGTAGAGACCTGGAAATGCTCATGCAAGCACCTCCACCACAACAAAGTTCATATCAAAAACTCCAAAAAGCTCCTTCTCTGTTGTCTTTGCATACATTAACTTTTATCATAGGGTATGATTTTTGTAAACATTAATATGAGGGCTGCTCTGAAAGTAATGCCTCCTATTTTATGACGTTGGCCCACAATATCAGAGGCCGATGTTGGTGGCCATGTTACAGATGGCAGCAGACGTGGAAGTGCATATGGAGCAAAGGTGTGATGCTGAAGTCCTCCATGTGGAAAGAATGACACTTGCTGAATGTTGATGGAGTGCAAACAGTGGATGTGAGCACAGTGAGGGGTGGGTGGTGTGTTTCAGCAGTAGCAGCAGCAACAGCGGGTCACCTCCGCTGCTGCAGAGTTTTCCTCTGCAAAACGTATTAAAATCAGAAAGCTGTGAGAAACATGAATATTTCGCCTTTCATCTTTCTCTCCAATCACCCCGCAGGACGAAGGAGCCTGCAGTTTCTTGCCTCCTTGTTAGCTCATTTGCTCAAGGCAACAAAGCAGGGAAATTACAGGCAGCACTTCATCAAATGCTTGTCATCAGTTCACTCCCTCTCTATCTGTCACGAGGTGTAGTTTTATTAACAGAAACTTGACCCAGGTATGCTAGTAGCTCGAAAGCTCAAAAGGTGGGGTACAACTCTCCAATAAAAGATGAGTGATGTACGTTTTATGTGTTGAATGCATGGTGGCATATCTGAAAGTGAATGTGCTTATAGAAAGGCAACATTTTGTTGAATATTGTGGAACTCAGAAGGGTTTTGCTATGTGATGTGAATGAGCAGGAGAAAAGACTTCATGGTTAATGTACATGGGCTGTACGTCTGCATTAGAATTTCCTGCTGTGGAACTTGTGTTGGCACAGGATTTAATAAAAATCAACAAGACTCAGCTAACAGGGCTTACTGCACAAACAAGCTCTTAGAAGTGAAAATAATAACTACTGAGATACATTTTTTCAAATTAAATATGAAATATTCATAAACTCATTTTATATGTTTATACTTACTCTATTATGTTATTGGCATGGTAAATTACTTTTGTTTACTGGCTATTCAAATCATACATTTCCAAATGCGTAAAGTTGTGTTTCATTTGTTAAAATGGTTAGAACCAGAGGAAATAATCTCAGTTTAATCTCACATTCTAAATAATGTTATCAAGGAATTGAAATCGTATAACGAGGTTCAGAATCTAATCCACATCACCCACATTACACAGTCTTTGAAATCAGCATGCTGACTTTACAAGTCATTGTGTAGTTCACAGGTAGAATTTAAACTGTTTTACAGGGCAGCAGCTCCTAACTGCTTATTTTGGTCAGGATGGCTGATGGTGACTTTAATGCTGTGTGCAGGTGGTGAATGTTCCAGCAGCTTGCACTGAAGTTCCAGCTCTTCTTTGGTATATTTATTCACTGATATAGTGTATTATTAATTCTCTTATTAATTTACATTTCCTATTATGTATCTCACAGGAACTCTCTAACCAGTCACTGCTTTATCCGTATGTCAAGCAAGCATTCATTTGACAGTCACAGTAGAAATCTGTCTTCTGTCCAGGCCATGCATCTTTTAAACAATACTTTGTGGGCATTTCCCTGTTTTCCTGTCATCTTCTACAGAATGTCACCGGTGCGTTCTGTAGGCCAGGGATGGATAAAACACACTAAATTTTGCATTTTTGCACTCAGCGTTTCAGTGAAACATACTGAAGCCTTCTGAGTATTGTTTAAGCTGACATAGTATACAGCTCACTAATTTTCTCCAGAAAATAATCTATTTTTCAGCCTCGCCGGTTTTCATCCAAGTACTGAAATGCTGCTTTTTGGCTAAATTTTCCCAGCCCATTCAATACTGCTGATCACTTCTCTCAGAGACTCCTCTGACTCCCATGCTTCTCATTCCAGTGATTGCGCTCTCATGTTCCTGGTCATCATGATGTTGGATTTTGTATGGACTTCCTTCATCCTCCTTTAGCATCTCCTGTACTTTCTGCCCTTCTGAGGTCTCACCTGCAGTGCTGCATCCAGACCTGGGTCCCCAGCACAAGAAGGATGTGGAGGTGTTGGAGCAGGCCCAGAGGAGGGCCATAAAGATGCTGAGAGGGCTGCAGCACCTCTCCTTTGAAGAAAGGCTGAGGGAGGTGGGCTTGTTCAGCCTGGAGAAGAGAAGGCTCTGGGGAGACCTCATTGCTGCCTTCCAGGTGGGGGACTGAATCTTTACATGGTCGGATAGTGATAAGACAAGGAGCAATGGCTTTAAATTAAAAGAGGAGAAATTTAGGTTAGATGTTAGGAGGTAATTCTTTACTCAGAGGGCAGTGAAGCCCTAGCATTGCTGCCCAGAGCTGTGGTGCCCCATCCCTGGAGGTGCCCAAGGCCAGGTTGGATGGGCCCTGGGCAGTCTGAGCTGGTGGGAGGCAGCCAGCCCATGGCAGGGGTTGGGGCTGGGGGGGTTTTGAGGCTCCTTCCAACCCAAACCATTCTATGATTTTGTGAATTCTGTTCATTCTCACTCTACATCTTTGCTGCAAATCTAGTGTTGTCCTTGTACAATCTTACCCACTAACATGGACAGTTAAGTGTCCGCCCAGAGCCAGAAGTTAATTACTGTACTGTGTGTTATATAATTAGCACCTTATCTAAGCATCACCCCACTTTTAGGATGCTACCTGTTAGATGTTCCTTGCTTGGAAACAATGGTCAAACTTGACACTTTAGGCTAAGACTCTCATCAACAATTCTACGAGAAAGAAAATAAACTGTATTTATGTACATGTGATACTATGCCTCTGTGCCAGCTACAGTGTTAGAGAAAGAAAAAGACGTAACCTGTGTTTTGTTCCCTACTTTCCTTAGATTTCATTGCAGTGTGCTAGACTGCTGCCAGCATCCAGGGAGCAGGATTATTATTCCTGTCATGTGGATATTTTCTTCCCTCTGCTGACTGAGAGCTACAAACTTGTCAGACAGAAAGCCTGATATATTTGTGCCTTTGTCTTTTTAAAATTCACCCATGGCCAATGTTAACATGTGCTCGACCAGGGGAAAATATCTTCATAAAGAAATTAGGTGTATTCCCCAAACAGCATTTCTAACGGACCATTTCCCATATATTTTTCTAGTTCTGGATGTGGGGATTGCAAGCTGGTGGGCAGCAGTGGAAGGGCTATTCATGTTTCATATCTACAAGGCTGAACACTTTGCTTCCCTTCAGGAACAGCAGGGAAAGCACAGACTGAGATAGCTGGTAATTGTCCGATGATTTCACTCGACCTGGAGGATTTGTGATTGTTGGAAGGTTTAAGGCCTCCGGAATCAACAAGTATAAGAAGTGAATGCTGATCATGCTCACACCAAAGGCGGTGACATAATTTCTTCTTGCTTCGGTGGGCCCAATTATACCAAGAGCTGCTGAGGTAAGAACTCATATACATTTAACTAAATAAAATACATTTAACTAAATAAAAACAAGTATTTTCTTACACAAATTGAAAAACTTAAACATTTCTGTTTTAAGTTGAAGAGAGTTTTACTCCTGCCTTTTATCTGATCTTCCATTTTGGTGCTGGTGCATGAGGCTCTTTTCTTTTTTTCCTTTTAAAGGCACATACTTTCTATATTTCCCAAAATGATGGCTGTTTTAGCTGTTTTTACAAATGAAAATGAAGAATGCATGCAAATGTCCCGAATGGGAAAAGAGTTTTCTCTGTCTTCCCTTCTGGTCCAATAAACATTGATTTATAAAATGTGGAACAGATCCCAGAGGACTTTAGAATATTCAGTAGCTTGGTAATGTGGCAATGATGCAGGATATGGGTTCAAGTATCTGCTCCACATCATAGAAACACAAACACACGTGACTTCAGCTATGATCCCTTTGATGCCTCTTCATCAGCTGGTTTCTCATTTTACCAAGATGAGAAAACTGTGTGGGCTACCAGAGAATATCAGCTGGCCAAAACAAAGACATTGAGTAAACACAGAGGATAGCAGTGTACCCTTGAGAGCCGACCTAATCTGAATATTAAAACGTGCTTTGTAAAGAGGAGTTTTATTCTAACTTGAGCTGGTGAGAAGGACAGCTCTGAGTATTCTGTTCCACCAGTGGGTGTGGTGAGACTATGGATTTTGCTGTCAGGAATTGCACCATGACTGCAGAACAAGAGCACAGATGCTGTGTTTGCTCCTCAGAAACTAGGACTTGGTACAAAGGCGGGCATTCCTGTGCACAGGAAAAAGAGGCACTTTTCGCTGTTGTGTTTGTTTCACAGCATTGTCACAGAGTCTCTCCCTGTCAGGAGCGGCTTTATTTCACCAGAAGACCAATGAGCTCCCTCCTGACACAGCCTGATACACAGCGCCCCACAACACTGAGAAAAGGACCAGACTTTTCCTCTGCCAGATGCAAAACTTTTACAGGATAACCCACTCGTTGCTGATGTTTTGCCTTAAGTGGGAACACTGAGACCTGCTACCTGCACAAACCCATTGAGCAGCGATTCCCAAGAGCACATCTCAGGGCTCTCTGTTCGTGCCGTGGGTGATACTGCCCCTTTCACTTCTAAGCTGAGGCAGTTCTGTGCATCGTGTATAACACAGTGTCCTCCAGTACCTCACCATGCTTCCATACTCTTCCACAGCATCATTTATTGCCGTCTGATCACTTGATTATTATTATTTTTACCGTGCTGTTTTTTGCTACTGTGCTCATTGAAAGTTTCATGCATTTATGTTTACACTGAAAAAAAAAAAAAAAAGTGCTGGGATAGGGAAAAAATCTGCCCAGAAATGCCACGGTTTTTCTCCGTGCAGCTCTGGACAGAGCTCTCTGACAGAGCCAGAGTCACAGGCCGAACACAAGGAGCTCCGGACCCGGGATATCTCTTCCACGCGGCCCAATCGGACTTCACTCGGGACAAGGCGGGTAGCTGCCAGGGGCTGAACGTGCCCAAGGCGAGGCTCAGCAGGCGGCTACGCGCAGCTCCGCCCCGCCCCGGCAGCCCGCCCGGCTCTCCCCGAAGCCCCGGCCGTGCCGTGCCGTGCCGGGTCCCGCAGGCCGCGGTCTCGCCGCCCCCCTCGATCGGGATCGCGACGCCGTCGCGTAGCAACGCGGCCCGCCCGCCGGAGGAGCGGAGCGTTCGGTGCCGCTCGGCAACCCGGAAGCAGAGCGGGCGCCGCTCCGCCCCGGGGTCGGCCGTGCCGTGCCGGGCCCCAGCGCCCTCTCCGGGACCGCCGCCGTCCTACCCCTCCGTCCCAGTCCCGGTCCCGGTGCCTCTTCCCGCCCCGCCGCCGTCTCCGGGCCCCTCCCGGCCCCGCCGCGCCCGGGCCGGCGGCGGCGGGCGAAGGAGGGGGCTGCTGAGCGGCGGCCGCCGGAGCCAACGGGCGGCGGGGAGGGGGGCGGGCGCTGCGGGGGTGTCGGGTTAGAGCGAGGCGTGACCCAGCCGACGGGCGCCGCGCGGAGCCGGGCGGCGGGCGGGCGCGGAGCTGGCGAGCAGCGTGCGCGTGCGGCGGCTGCTGTCGCTGAGGCTCGGCGTCCTCTACACCCCCGTGAGCCTGGGGAACCTGCAGCCGAAAGCCGCCGCCAGCCACAGCACCATGTACCCCGGCAACAAGCGGAAAAAGCTCTGGCGGGAGGAGAAAGGTACTGCCGCTGCCGCCGCCCTCCTCTCGCGGGGCCGCCCCATCCCGGGACGGGCTCCCGCCGCGGCCTGCGCTCTCTCCGGCGCTGTGGCCGCCTGCTGCGGGCGGGCGGGCGGGCTGCGCTGGGGGGGCCGTGCGAGCCCGTTCCCGCCGCTCCTTCTCTCTGCCGCTGGGGCCGCGCGGCGCGGGCTGACGCCGGGCACTGCGGGCGCCTAGCGGCCGGGAGCTCCTGAGGGCGGGCGCCGGGCGTTCCTGTCCCGCGCTCATCTGCGCGTGCTGTGCATGTGTGTGCGTGTGTTATTTGGGTTACTGCGCGGGTAAAGCACCGGTGAGAAATCGTCCTTCCTTCTTGAAGGGCTCGTCGATCTTGCCCTCCCTTCCCTCCGCGTCTCTTTGAGCCCAACATCCAGCTCCAGAGCTGGCCGTCCGCTGGAGGTGTGGGACGGGCGCTGTGCGCTGACCTTGGCTTGTGGGCGTCCGCCTATCGACCCTCTGAAAGCAATGTAAATACCGACGAAGAAACCGCGGCGGCCAGGCGGGATATTGCCGGGGGCTGGTGGGAGCCCCGCGCCCGGGAACATACCGGAGACAGAGGAAAACTAAAGCACGCTCGCAGGTCCTGTTGTGAGTTCTCCTCTCATCACGCTGCTGAGTGTGTATTGCAAGTCTGGAAGGCAGGCGGCCCCTCGTAAGACAGCGTGCATGCTGCCGGGAGCAATCCAGTGGGGATCGGTCAAGAGGAAGATGCAAGATGCACATAAGTTCATTGCTGTGCAAGTTGGCTGCTCCATTCACACCCATCCCCAGGGCAGGGAGTTGCATTGCCTGTCATTTTGTCAAGCTGTCCTAGAAGTAGCATTCCTTCCAGACATCCAATTTCTACCTGGCTTTGAAATTTCTCTTTTCCAGAACAGAAGAGAGATGGTTAAACCCACCAGCACAGCGATACTATGGTCTGTGCGGCATGAAGATGTTGCTGAGCGCTTGCTGCAGCTCAGCTGCTGCTGAGGGTGCTCTGCCCAGTGAGGCGTGTGTGTGAGCGCTGGGACTCGGTGTCTCCTCACACAGTGAGGCTGAACAGCACTTGCCGGTCTTCTGCTCCAGTAACTGCTCCTTGGCATTGTATTCGTGGGTTTGGCCCTGGGCCCTTCACACAAGGAAAGGGGAAAGTGCTGCTGTGTTGTTGCTGCTGCTCTCTAGCTTGCAGCTGAGCATAGCTGTAGAGCATTCTCTTGGCTGGGGAGCGAAACTACAGCATCCCAACTTCTTTCTTTCCTCGCCAGGCTGTCTGTGAAAGCAAGCATTCTGCTAGGCCTATCTCTGCCGTTCCTGTGTGCTCCTGGCTCCCACAGTGCTGATGGGGCTCCTGGTTCTGCTTCTCCCGTGCAGACTTGGTAGTGGATCATTCTCAGCCTTTTATATTCTGTAAGGCTTCGTTCTTTCAAAAAATAAAAATAAAGAAAACAACAAAAAACAGACTACTAAATACTGGCTTGAAACCCACTGATAGCTACCTGGCTTTCCTTGATTACTTTCTTGGTAACTGAGAATTGATTCACTTTCTCCCAAGCTGGATCTTGTTTGGAGTTCATTGAGGCAGCAGGAGCAGCATTGGTGTTGATGTCAGTCTTGCAGCATGGGACTGGTCTGCTTGTGAGCTTCTCAAGCAGGTCAGCAGGCAATGTGGATAACAGCACTTTGCAACTAAAGGTGCTGGAAGCTTCTTATGGGGGGTCTGTGTGCAGCTGAAATTCTCTCTGGCAACTTGCAAGAGTGAAGCCCTGTGCACCCTTCCTGCAGAGGGAAAACTTGCTGTTTTAAGAGTAGGGAAACGGTTCTGTGGCATCTTCAGCAAAAGACAGCCAGACATTCTGTGCTACTTGGTCCAATGGTTTGACACATGCAAACACACTCTTGTGTTCTTCTCACATTCAGGTTTGCCTTTCTGTAGTACCTCTAACAAACACACAACACTTGGGGCGCTTGAAGATCAAGCAGGAAAGCTAAGTGTGCGTTTGCAAAGCATAATGGTGATTCTAATCACATTAGTTGTACTTTTGTACTTGTAAGCATCCAATTAAGATACCAAGCCAGAATAATGCGATAGAAATATTTTTGTTGACTGAAGGAGAAGTCGTACTGTCAAAACATCAAAATACATTTGTTCTGATAAGGAAGCCTGTGTTCAAAGCCTGCCCCTGGTATTTTAGACTGTACTGATTACACTGTGTGAAATTAGGAAAGTTATTTTGATGGGGGGGGGGGGGGGGGACACCACTAGTATAGTGCAAGTGATTTTTCTTGAGAGCTTTGGCCTGAAAGGCAGTTTCTGTTGAAGCCCTTCCCTGCTCCTTCAACTTGATAAGAAAATACCATCTCTGTGTCAGTTTGTGGTAGGGAAACGTAAGATCCATATGTCTCTAAAACCTCTTCAGTCATCAAAGAGCACTTAGTAGTGACTAACAGGCCAAGGGAAGGTGTTAGTATGGTGATGGTAGCTCAGTGTTATTGGTAGGACGTACCCAGGAGCTTGGTTAGCGAATGGGAGTCCTGACGTGCTTTTCGTTTCTTCCCCCCTTCGTACAGATGGGTGCATCTAGAACAAAGCTAGCAGTGAGCATTAGAATTGTATCTCACTACTGAGAGAGTCCATCCTGCTTGGTGGGGTGAGAAGAAGGGGATAGATCTGCAAGAACCTGGTGTCCAGCCCAGGTTGCTGGGCTGTTTTTCTCGCTTTAGTGTGCTTACAGCCGCTGCTGAAGGAGAGTGAAGCTGGCAGCATCTGTCCTAAATGTACAACCTGTAAGGCTTTATTTATACCAAGTGTCTAGAAGAAAACCTCTCGTATGCACTTCAGTACAGTAACTAAGTGCGTCATTCTAATGCTCAAGTACAAAACTCTTAGTCTTAAGCCAGGCTGCTCATTTCAAACCCAGGTTCTATTTCACAGCGCTTCCAGTCCAACAGATTCAGATCATGCTGATCCTGGCTGCCTTTAGAAACCTGTTTAGCCAATAGAGAGCAGTGGGCTTTCCTAGTAATTGGTGTGTGCTCCAGCTTAGGGGTTTCTCTTGCTCATCCCTGGGTGACCAACAGGTAGCCTGTTGTATTTTATTTTTCTGGAGCTGCTGATTTTGGCCCAGAATGTGATTACACACTAGTGGATGTGTTTAAAGCAAATGACTGCAGATTTCTCTGGTGCTGGGAGTTATATTGTTTGCAGAACAAAACAACCAAACAGAAACACCTTTCTTATCACCGCAGCCACGTAGGAAGTGATGTAAGATTTGCTTTTGCTGATTTCTATTTTTGTAGCATATTGACACTGCTAATTTTGTACCATTTTCCCCTCTTTCTTTGCTGGAGCACGTGAAACTTGTTTCAGTAAAAACACATCAATTTTGATGTTCCAGTGTGGTGGCTCTGCTTGTTTTTAAAATCTGGTTTATGAATACGGAACGTGAAGAATATATTCTGATACCTGGAAACTCTATAAAATAACAATTCCCTACTTAATGAACCTGCTGTTAAATCTCTGATGCTGAGTTTAAGCGGCTGGAAGATGGGGAAAGGAAATGTGTACAGCTGAGAGAGCAGTGAAGAGGCATTTCTTTTTTTTTGCTGAACTGGGATATCCAGAAATAGGTGCAGGCAGTGGTTCTAAATACACTGTGTTCAGCTTCTATTATTTGTAACTCATCAAATCACCCATGCTTGTTTCTTTCAAGCAGTGTTTGGTTGCCTCAAGGACACTGAATTGGTCACTACTTGGCCAATGTACAAGAACATATGAAAGCTTGCAGAACTTTTATTTATCTTTTTATCCCCCAAACAGAACGTTTGCTGAAGATGACCTTGGAAGAAAGACGCAAAGAGTACTTAAGGGGATATGTTGCACTGAAAGATATTCCAACGTGGATGGAAGAAATGAGAAGCAAGAATGAAAGTGATGGTAAGTAAAATGGGAGAATCTTATTTAATAAATTATTTTGTTGACTCAGCCTTTTCTGTTTTCTCAGTTACTTTTAAGAGCAGAAGACTTGGAATCTTTGTTAGTTACAGTGGCAGCCTTAATTGGGGTCAGGAGTCCTACACTGGGCTGGGTGGGGTAAAACAGCTGAAAAAAAAACCCAAAACAACACTGGTTTCCACTGATTCCTTAAATACCTGCAGGCACAGACAGAACATTGGTACCCTTAGGTATGTGAAGCAGCAATTCTTTGCCTCTGCATTTACCTTCTGGATAATCAGCCATGCCTAATTAACTTTGTCTTAATGAACTTAGGAACCTTAATGGTGTGGGGAATCTGGGCAAAATAGTGTTGTTCTTGTAGGCTGCTGAAAAGCAGTGGGGAAGTGCATGAGTTGTGGTGGCTACTGAAAATCTAGAGACAAGACGGGATTGAATTTGAAGCCTCTGTTGAAAACAACATTTCTTACTCATGATCCAATCTCCTTCCTTGGGCTGAGGAGCATCAGCCTGGCCTGGATGAACTCCTCTTCTCTTAGTGCGTGCAGTGTTATCATGATGGCCAGTAGGGTTGTCGAAATACTTGCAGTGAAAGCTGTCTAGAGATGTGAACTGAACTTGCTAACATAGATAAGATATTTGAGGTCTAGATTCTGGTAAGAATTTAATTCTGTTACATTCTTTTTTCTAGTTCTCCTTCATTCACATGTGTATAAGAAGAGGGACTTCCTGGTCTGGTTTCCCCCTCCTGTTTTCTTTCTATGTTTTATCTGGGCTGTCTCTTGGGCTGTAACTATGAAATGTAACATATTCT